AATGTAACTGTGAATAAGTCTCGGCTGTTCGCAGACAAGATGCATAAGCAGTCACGGACAATCAGGGGCAGCGACCTAGAGAGTGGGGGTTCTGAGCTGGCCACCTTTGTTCCTCAGTAAATACCGCAAGTGCTCGTAAGCCGCTGTGCCAAAGTCAAAGTGACCGGCTATAGGGACACTGACCACTTACTTCTGGTCACAGAAGTGAGTATTTGACGGAGGACGGATGAACAACCTCGAGGGCAACCGGCTTTTATGAAGGCGTATGAGCCACCCGGCTGCCAACGGCCTTCGTGCATTGTGGGGAGTTTCGTAATTCAGGGAATCCTGGCCTCCTTGCTTCTTTACTCGGGCTCTTTGGGCACCCTGAGTAGCTTGCCTCCAATCGAAAGCCGCTTCTCCCTCTCCTAGATAGCCAGCTCCCAACGGCTCGCGGTATACGTCAATCGTCCCGCTGCTTGCAGATTAGGTCTTATATGACCCAAGGCTCCAGGTGGGGTCCCATAAGTCAATTCTCTTTCTCGGCTTTTGCAACCGGGAAGTGCTATGCCCACACAACCTTTGGATCAATGTCTCAACAATTCTTCGCTCACTGTCCGCTCTCCCTCTATCTGATCTCACTCTCGAACTACTGTCCTCAGCCGAGATGCTGGCGGCTGAACGTGGCAAAGTAGGTTTTACCGCACCACCGTTTAACCACTTTATTCCACGTTTCTTCAACCCGCCACACTTGGTCTTCCCTCTCCATTCTCGAGTTCACAACACCGTGCCACCTTGGGCGAACGTTCTCACCATAAGGATCAGGAGCTTAGGTCCGAGGATGAGGCAAGACGTGATGGCAAGCCATTTCTAACGCCCCGTTCCCAATTCAAGCTGGCAAGCATCAATGGTCAGACGCCGCTGCAGATTGGACCACAGGCAGCCCTCACGCGCACCCAAGAAAATACGGGCATTGATGTCTGCTGTCTAGGCGAAACCCCATTACAAAACTCTAGCACGAGGCTGGGACTAGTTACACCGTCTGTGAATTCCAGTTTGCGGCTATCTGAAGACTCAACCGCCAAAGCCGCTAGTTTTGCTTGTGTGTGGATTGCGTTGAATACGTAAACATTAGCAAAGTGCTGTACGCGCATACTTCGGGCAGAGGTGATTTGTGGCAAACTGTTTCCACCCTTCAGTATCACCAGCGGTGTGAGATAAGGTTGTCCGCTGTCACCTTTCCTATTTAACTTGGCAGTTGACGAAGTTACGGAAACAGCATTCGCTGGACACGACCTAGAAGATGTGATCGACTTCTTGACTTGGAGTATGCGGACGATATTCCCCTCATCTGTGATAGCTCGCAAACATGGCAAGCAGCAATGGACCGAGTAGCACTGACTGTCTGTTGTTTTGGGCTATGCTTTGTTCCATCGGAATGCTAAGTATTTCATCAAGATTAACAGGGACCCACCCCTGCGCTAACGCTTTGTGGTGATCAGTTAGTAGTTCAAGAATACAAGTAGCTGAGTAGATATAGTAAGGCCGGTGGGATCGAAGATAAGATTAGGAACCGTATAGCAAAAGCTCGAGGTGTTTTTGCCAATCACCGCCATCTGTGGCGCAGATGCGACATTACGCTCGCCCTGAAGGGCAAGGTTTATGACGCAGCCGTGAGGTTCAACTCTCCTATATGGTTGTGAAACCTGGCCCATCAGGTCGGCAGACACAAAGTGGCTCATATTCGATCATCGCTGCCTTCACATCTTAGCTTATTTCTGGTGGGAGCAGCGCGTGAGCAACGAGCGTGTTCGGCGTAGCGTATTTGGTGCAGGAAGAGCGAGTGAAACGCTCAGCATCATTGTATCACGCACCAAGCTCCGATGGCTGGGCCACGTATTGCGCATGCCAGCACACCGACTCCCACGACGTGCGTTGTTTGCGCGCTAGGGGTGCGAGTGAAAGAGGAGGAGGGGAGACCAAGCGATGACTTGGTCGGGAAGAATGAATACGCTCAGTTCGAAACGGGTCGGTTGGTGCATCCCGAGTGCCTAGCTAGGGTTCTAAGCATGATAAATACATTTGGTTGGACACACTTGCTGATATGGCAAAAAGCCGGCCCCATGGCATTTGTGCTGTGAGTTTCTCTGTCCACCCCCCCTCTCCAATTCCGACGTCAAATAAACGTATAGTATAATATTTAACATTATATATTTTCGTAGATTAATTTGTGTAATATGTAGTGTAGTTTCTTAATCTCTTATCATCTTTTAATGCAGTACATAAACTGAGGTGGGTTTCTCACCCTCAGCTAACGTGTACTGATGATGATGATTAAATGATGATGATGTGAGAGCAACTAGACAAGCTAGGAGCACTGGAAAAAATCGGGGAGATTATAGTAGCGCGACCAGACGAAGGCGAAGATGTGGTTATTGTGGACAAAAAAAACGAATAACACCACAAAAGGAGTGCCTTAATTTAGGATCCCTCAAAGTGAAAATGGACACTGAAATGGACAAAACCTAGACGATCGAAAAGCCGATATCTAAATCTCATGCACAAATGAAATAAAAAGAGCGGATCGGTTTGATGGCATTTGAAGGAATTCGTTCCGTCGACACCATTATCAAGGCTGTGTGGATCACCCAACCTAAATAAAGGGGAGCCTTTTTACGGTTCATAACAGAGATGAGTAACTCCTCGTATAATACGTTGGCAAAGTGGTTGGCCGAACTAAAGAACCAAAAGAATGGAGCTAGCGACTCATTAATTGCATGACACGTTCGAGTTCGTCGACAGCGTTGGAATGTAACATATGGATAATCAACAGCTACTATCGCCCGATGTGACGTCACTGTTAACTAATGTTACCGTTAAAGAGACCATCGATTACCCTGCTGAATACATCGAGCGCCCAGGTAAAAAAAATTCGGCATACCGTCAGAAGAAATGAAGACGCTAGTTTATCAGTGTAACTACAATGTCCAATTTCGCTTTGCCAAACAATCATACGGACAAAAGACGGGCTAACTAGGGGTCACCATTGGATCCATCCTTCACTTGTGTTTATAGGTAAAATAGAAAAGGGTCCGTTGGGTAAAATGATTGAGCGGATGCCACTTCATAAATGCTATCTCGATGACGTAATGTGCCTAGCTGACAGCTTTGCATACCATGGCGAACTATTAAGGAAATTCAATTGCGCCCAAAGGAACACTGTTTTGCATGTAAAACGAGTCAAACGAAGATCCAGCTATCCTGAATTCTTCTGGCTCCTCCATTTCTCAAGCCCTACTGGTCCAATAGCCTTTCTTGTCAGCACGCAGGTTCAGTTTTAGCTCGGCACTAATGGTCCGTCTGGTTACATTGTGGGCAGAACGAGTCGAGATTTTTCTGGATTCCTACAGGTTTACCGACCTCTCGGATATCCAAAGACTGGTGCGGTGACAAGTCACAGTGGCACAATCAATGGCACCGGCGTCGTGCGTGGCAGTCAAGATTCTATCGCACTGAAGGCCAGTGTTATCAGGTCAAGAGAGCAAAAGTTCTGTACGCAGGACATCTCGGTGGGCTTGAGTGACCGAGGAAGGGGATAACTCCTCAGTTGTCAATCAAGAGGTGCGCTTAGTACCCCTCTTGACGAATTTCATGAAAAATTACACCATACCGAAGCATGATCGCTGCTCACACTTAGGAAAGAACAATTCATAACACAGAACTAGTTCTTTTTCGAGTTACCTCATCAGCCGTCGTAACCAGTCTGTCAAAACAATTGATGCGCCATCAGAAATATCACCAAGCTGTAGCAGCACTTCGTGATAACACCAAACTAACTTAAGGACCATAGAGCAAGCGTAATAGATAATAGTGGGTTATTTACACTTGGGTGACGATTTCAACCAGTTGAGATTACCAGCTGAAGAAAGTAACAAGAACCATGGTGAAAATGTCAGTTGGTGAGGGGTGAGAAGTTTCCGGTAACATCGCAACATTTGAAAAACTGAGTGCCGATATATTATTCAATAACACGTCGCATTCACCAAGGATATCGCAGAATGGAGATCAAAACTAGTTAAATGTTTTCATTGTAAAAATGAACAAAAAGATTAGGGGAACAATTCATACTATGTTCAATTTTGTCAGTTGAGTAGCATGACAGTAAAAAACAGGAAACAAAACAGGATAACAATGAAAAAGCTAATCAGGAACCACTTCGTGTAACTTAGTCCCAAGCAACTGACAAGCATGCAGACACACGAATGACAATTATCTTTTATCAGTTTTACCATAATTCGATTGTACGTAATTTATTCCCATTGTACCAGCATCATATTCGCGTTCACTTGTCAGCTCTGCAAAATATAACGTTGAGTTTGATTCCCTTTTGCTTTCTGATAGTGGAAGTTGTTTAATTGACCTGATCAGGACGAATATTTACTGGTCCCACAAGCTATGGCCTGGGCGTTAAAATACGGCAGACGAAATAGCGACAACTTATACCAAAGCAATACAAGTGTCGAAATGCTAGAAGGAATGAAGGAGAATAAAGGATAATGGATTGTAGAATAAGGCCTGGATGAGTGACGTAATAATCAGGGCGGAAAGATAATAGCAGTGTGTATTAAAAGACAAAGATGACTTCCCCAAAGCAAAATGTTAGAAATTTAGCGCAATCCCCACAGATAATGCTAGGCGCATGCCTAGAAAGCCATGTACAAACTAGGCAAAGCCGTCTGGTCAATTTCAGCGTACCAGTTTATTATGGTATCGGCTGATCGTCAAAGGTGAGGTCGAAAGCGGTGTCAGGCAAAGATGTAGACTTGGGTGGATAGACGGTGGGCCGATTATTTCTCCATGCTGGTTGGTACTACCTTAAAAGATATTCAATGTTTCCAATGAAATCAAGTTGATTGCATCGTCAATACACACAACCAATATAAAGCAACAAAACAACAATAAAAACCAACATAAAACAGTATTCAGGAATTGGAGTAAATGGTAAAGAAGAAACAACTTACTTATTAAAGCGTTGAATAACGAGCAGTAGTTTAGATAGGACTGAGCCATATCCTCAACGGAGAGACTTGTGCTGACGTGGGCATAGACATGGCGATAGTATAGCTCATTGTAGAGCATGAGAAAAAGTGGATCTGCGTGTGGTACTTAAGAGCTACACAGCATTGCGTTTTACCTGCATCCACCAACTTTGCTATCACGTCTGCAGTAGGCCATCGAGTGCTGATGAAATATTGATCTGTAAGCCTTGGAAACCTAGAAACTCAGTAAAAGGCACGTATGACCAAACTTGATCTGATAGTCACTCTCGATCTCCACGATGTTTTGTTCTCTGATGTGTTCACAAAAGCTTATGATGAAGGAACGCACATCCTCCTTTAAAATGGAGTAAGTATCTGACATCCCGATGCCACGACAGAAGGAAAGCTAATGGAAAAAACAAAGCCGACAGCTAACGAGCGGAGCGTGTAGTATGCAATCGGTTGAGGGTTACGAGCGATTCTGTGTGCAGGGCGTACGTGGGTGGTGATTACGACCGATGGGGCTGAAAGGCAAAAGAGATAGTTCGTAGGCGGCTGAACAATCACCTAGCTGGACGGCATTGTCACAGTCGCTGATGGAGGACCGGGCGTGAAGTGACTGGATGGCTAGCGTGGAAACACGCAGGAGATGGCTGCTCTAACGATACTGAGGACGAAATAGGAAGGCAAAGAGAAGAGGAAACGACAACCACAACGTAGGCTATGCTCGACGACATCTTACCTGCTGGCTTTCCATAGCGACACTGACGCGCTACATTATCTGCCCTCTGTCCTCAGCGCCTACAGAAACCCAGACCCGTGTCAATTTGCTGACGCACATAGACTGATGAGTGCTGTGATAAGCTCGGACGATTCCGCGTGTCGGAATGTTAGTGATCGCTGCAACGACCGTACTCCTGCTTCAGAAATTGGCTTTATGAGTTGGCAGGGTGTCCAAATGTGTAGTATGCGTCCGGTTGAGGGTTCCGAGAGCTTCCGTGTGCAGGGCGTAGGTGGATCATACTTATGACCGATGAGGCGGGAAGGCAAAAGAGATACTTCGTAGGCGGCTGGACAAGCACCTAGAAAGATTCGGAGCTGGATGGAAGGTGTGCCTATGTCACATCTCGAAGTAAGCTGGACGGTAATGTCACAGCCGTTGATGGAGAACCAGGCGTGAGGGGACTAGATGGATGGCTAAAAATACGCATGAGAGGCTGCTCTAACAATACTGAAGACGAAACAGTAAGGCAAAGATAAGAAGAAACGACAACCACAATGTAGACTATGCTCGACGACATCTTCAGTTTCATATTGTTGTAGAGAGCAAAAGAGAAAAGACCTGTGTCAGCTCCCCCACCTCTCATTCATTGGCTGGACGATGCGTGCCGTTGCTAATCTGTGTTTAATGAGGGAACAGCACAGCTGCAGCAAAAACAGTAGAACCCAGGCGTTCTCAGCACGTAGTTATCCAATTGTTTCTTGAGACGTTCCTCTCTTTCGGCACTGACAACATATTCCGGGAGGTTGTTCCATTGATTCACGACCCGGGTGGATAACGTGACGTCAAAGCAAAGTTAAGCCTCCGCGGTTCAAACAGTTTCCAACTGTGACCCCTTGTCGAGTTATCTACAATGAGTTGGAAGAACTCTTGCATCTCCGTCCTCAAGTCTCTTTTTAGATTGGTTCCTGTGTATATCGGATCCCCACAGCGACGACGTAGTCCAGAAGGAACAAGTTCATACGCTGAAGCCGAAGGTGATAGGACAAATTACGTAGTATTTATACGGATTCAGACCCACAACTCTGAAACTTCTCGATTAAGTTGCATGCAAACTTTTTGAGAGAGTGTATAGCGGGTAGCCCATATTCCAGTACTGGACGGAAGTGGAAAGGAAACAGGAGCTAAAGCTTTCAGGCGTCATTTCTGGGAATGACTTCCGTATGGCGCAGAGTACCCTGTTGGCAGAAGCAACTTTCCGTAGGGTTTCCGGAAAAGTTTTCAAGTTAGAATATACAATCACACTCAAATCCCTTTCAGAAACCACGTTGGAAATCAACAATGTGGTAGGCACCGAAATATTCGGTAGAAACGATCAATGGCCCTAATGAGGTCGTTTATTTAACTGCGCTCGGCTTGTCCTCTCGCTATTGCTTACATGCATGTAGAAACGCCAACGCAACACTTACGGGTCATGCTGGTGTAGGCATTATACCAAACTCCAAGACTGAGCCATCGTTGGTTGATCGGATTCCGACGAACACCCGTCTATGTGCGGCATGTTTAACGATATCAACTAAGCCTGATTCACGAAGTAGTACAAAAGGCTGTTTGTTCGTGATTTCCACTCATGCTCCCACCGACTGCAGTTCTAATGCTGACAAGAACACATTCCGTAACGAACTGAACGCGCTATTACGCAATGCCACTAGTTCAGATATTATAGTATTTGCAGAGGATATGAACACACAACTAGGGCGTCTGAACTCCTCAGAAGCTCAGTTGGGTGGTAACTATGGGCCTAACTCCGAGCGGACTGACAACGGCAAGTGTCTGCTGTAACTGTGTGCGCAGCACCAGTTGTTTCTTAGTAGCACTGCTTTTAGACACAGTGGGCGCCGAAATGCCACTTGGTGTCCTACTGTAGCTGGCCAGCGATGGACGCAAACTGACCACGTTGCCACAAGTTACAGATGGCGTGGTTCCATCCCGGATTACCGCTCGTACTGGAATACCTGTGTCGACTCTGATCATACCTTGTACGCTGTCCTTTCTCCATGAACTTTACCGAGAGGCGCACCAAGCGCCTCCTCCGATTGGCAATTGAGAAATTGTCTGAGCCCTCGATCAAACAAGCCTATCAAAACGCACTGTGTACCGAACTCTCGCTGTCTTGTCCTAATGTATGTAATCTCAGCAGTCTAGTTACTATACATAGAGCCAACCTTGTCCTAATGAGACTGTGCTTCAGAAGAATAGGACGTCGGACGCCATGCACGACACAGAGACATCTGCTTGTGGCACTATCAATCGTCACCGCACCAGTTACAGGATATCCGAGAGGTCGGTGAACATGTAGGAATCCAGAAGAAACATCCCGGTTGCCTCTGAACACAATTTGACCAGATGGACTATTAGCCGGGCACTAAAGCAGAGCCTAGATGCTAACAAGGAAGATTGGTGGACCAGTCAGGCTAAAGCAATGGAGGCAGGAGCTGTCGGCAATTATCGCAAGTTCTTCCAGTTGATCCGCACCAATAGTCCCAGGAAATCAGGCGTCAGTGAGACATCATAATCATCATACACGTTAGCTAGTGGTGAGAAACATCTCAGCTACTGTGCCGCAATATACAGAAAAAAAGAGAAAAAAAGAATTCAACTGGGGCAAGCCGGCTGAGCTACCGGTAACGGATGGGCATCGTTCCGGTAAGCTACCAGCCGGTTACTATGCATCAAAAAAATCGCTATGCAAAATTATATAAGGTTACATAATGAGATCGTGAATGGAGGGAGAGGCTAAGAGGGATGGAGTGGGACAATAAAAACTCACAGCACGAACGCCACTGAGGTCAGCTCCTAGCCATATTAACAAGTGTATCCAACCAAACGTGTTCATCGTCTTCGGACCCCAACCAGGGAGCCGAGATGCTCCAACCGAGGCCAGCTCAGAAGTGAGGGAATTCATTCCTCGCGACCAAGTCATCGCTTAGCCACCCCTCCCTTTCTTCCATCCACATCTCCGGCACGCAAACAACGAACGTCGCGGGAGTCGGTGGACTGGTATGCGTAACACGTGGCCGAGCCATCGGAGCCTGGTGCGTAAAATAACGGTGCTGAGCGGTTCAGCTCCTTTTCCTGTGCCATAAACAAGGCGTCGGACACGCTCGTTGCTCACGCGGTGTTCCCACCAGATGTGAGCTAAATTACAAAGGCACCGGTGGTCGAACGTAACTAGCCTCTTCAGATCCGCTGCTTTAAGCGGCCAGATTTCAAAACCGTACAGTAGAATCAAACGTACTGCTGCATTGTACACTCTACTCTTCAGGGCATACACTCTACCCTTCAGGGCATTGCAATGAGGCTGGACCTTATCGTGGTGCGATGGTTTGCGTGCCTCAGAGATCCATTGAGCTATACTGGGTGGTGCATTTTCGCACCTTCAAAGCCACTCATACCAGATTGGTCAATGGTTAGAGGCCAGACAAACTCAGCCTCCTGGTCCACCAGGTTGGGGGTTGGAATGAGGGTGGCTGCTTATTCCTTAAAACGAACTCCTTGTAGCCCAGTGCCAAACCCGCTGCCTTGAGGTCAGGTTGTTGTATTAAAGACTTTGGTTGAGAACCCTAATCGTTCTCCTGTCTAGGCCTGGGCAACCTGACAGTATCCTGCCCACGCAATGCAATAAATCACACTTCAAACAAATTTCTGATGCTCTGGCCAAAGCAGAAATTTGTTTGAAGTGTGATTCATTGCATTGCGTGGGCAGGATACTGTCAGGTTGCCCAGGCCTAGCCAGGAGAACGATTAGGGTTCTCAACCAAAGCCTTTAGTTCAAAAACCTGACCGCAAGGCAGCGGGTTTGGCACTGGGCTACAAGGAGTCCGTTTTAAGGAATAAGCAGCCACCCTCATTCCAACCCCCAACCTGGTGGACCAGGAGGCTGAGTTTGTCTGGCCTCTAACCATTGACCAATCTGGTATGAGTGGCTTTGAAGGTGCGAAAATGCACCACCCAGTATATCTCAATGGATCTCTGAGGCACGCAAACCATCGCACCACGGTAAGGTCCAGCCTCATAGCGATGGCGTCAATGAGAGAGACAGAGACAGCGCGGATTCACTAATACACAATAACGAGCGCTGTGCCGTAAACAAGGCGTCAAACACGCACGTTGCTCACGCGGTGTTCCCACCAGATGTGAGCTAAATTACAAAGGCACCGGTGGTCGAACGTAACTAGCCTCTTCAGATCCGCTGCTTTAAGCGGCCAGGTTTCACAACCGTACAGTAGGGTCGAACGTACTGCTGCATTGTACACTCTACCCTTCAGGGCAAGAGGGATGTCGCGCCGGCGCCACACGTGGCGAAGGTTAGCAAAAGCGCCCCGACCTTTTGCTATACGGTTCGTGATCTCATCTTCAATCCCACGGGCGCTGATACAACTTCCCAGGTAGTTGAATTTTTGAACACCTTCTAGCTGATCCCCACCAAGGGTCAGCGTAGGAGGCGGTCCAGACCAATCTTGGAGGAACGCTTTGCACTTCGAGGGTGCGAAGCAGAAAACGAAGTGACGGACAGCCGGACGGTGTTGACCAGCAGTTTCTACAATGTCTCCAACGAAATCCAGCTACATTCGTCCACAATGTAATCTTTCAGTTCATTCAGCTTGTTGGGTTTTATTCTATAAACTCTACGGTTCAAGTATCCCCCTAGGAAAAATATCCATGGGTTTCAGATCCAGTGATTGCGCTGGCTATTCTGTGAGTTCTCCGCGACCCATCCAACGTCCACGAAATTCTCGTTCAGGT